TTTCAAAAGCATCTCTCTGTTGAAATCAGAGGCTTTATAGCATAAACCACCTCTAAACTTATTAAACTTATGAAACTTCAGCTCTGAAGCACCAAACCTAAAACCAGTTAGAATTACTTAGTTTTTGCAAATAAAGGCCACATCACCTGAAAGGACTTTTTTTCCCCATAGTTAATATTGTATGCCTCGATAGCACAAGTAGCATGTGCTTTTCAACGGCAGTAAATATTTTATACTTCATGTTAAAGTTTTGAAAAATTTTTAAGCTGTTATAACACCAGAATCTTTTGAGATTATGCCCTCCATGGATGACAGGTTGACTGGTCAGCTGAACTTGCTTCTGTGGTTGATGTTGTCAAGTAAATATTGAAAAACGGTTTCTACTCTAAGAATCTGTGAAATTTTGGGAATCAAAAAGAACTTAAGACAATTTACGGCATCAAGGGCATCAAGGAATACTTAAATCAAGTATTCTAGAGTAGCTTCTTCACAGGCTTCATCACTGGAACAACTACCAAACTGCTATGCATTGTGGATTTCCTGCCCTTAACCTGATTCTTACATGTCAGCAGAAAGCAGATGACACCAGGCACAGTTCCTTTATGACACTACTGTAGACAAACTTCTGATGGCTCCTTCAGGTCACTTTCTTGGCTCTAAATTTATTATATTCTTAATAAAATTATGAAAGAATGTAGGATAAGTTCTACAAAAAATCACAACTAAAAAGAAAGCCAGACATTACAAAAAAAAAAGCCAATCAAAACAAAAGATGTAACATCTCAACAGCTCTGAAGGAGATTAATAACCCTTACAAGTTCTAATGACATCATAATTGGATGGAGTAACCTCATTTAGTCAGTAAAGGGCACCTGATTTGTATATCATCATGAAATAGTCCTCTTCTTTTCAAAAGTTTGCCTTGAAAATAAAATTAGTATGTCTTTCTGATCTTTAAAGTCCATTAATAGCTGCTTTGAGAAGAATATACGATCTAATTAGAAATTACAAAATAGAGAAGATCTGTGAAAAAAAAGTCTCCCCTCTATTTCAGTCAAATCCAGTTAAAAATTTTCCATTAAATTTCACATTATTGCTTCCACAAGAATTATTTCCTATTCTTCTTCAAATCAGTAAAGAGGACACGTTCACTGGCAAAATTTTTATTTTTCTTTAGAAAAAATCTATTAGTGAAAACTCTGAATTCAAAAATTACATACTACAAAGCTAACAAGAGTAAAATGAATGAGTATTTGAAAAATACTGAAAAACTAGCAATTCTTCAACTTTTCTACATTTAATTTAATCGATTGCTACTGTGTACTATGAGAATACATTTACCAGAATCAGTAGAGACGAAATGTTAATTATAGAAAAATAGGAAAAATTAATAATCTTACATATAGACCCTGACACATTAGAACTGCAAAGCACTCTCAGATCTTATTTTATGAAAATTTACTAAGAGCACAAATGTATAGACCCTTAGGAAGCAATTATCCCTAAAAGATTTAGCTATAATTCAGTGTGAAATATTATAAGAGATTTTAAAAAATGGTTTCACAAAGAAGAGGATTATTTTACTTTAACTGTGGAAATAGGGGCCCAGATGCTTCTCTGCATGACCTCTGTGCAGCTGTGGGCACTGCCTGGAGGGAAGATTTTAAATTGGCCTTTTCAAATTAATACAGTCCCCTATGACCAATAAGAATATTATAAAAATTAGGGGTGCCAGTTTGGCACTGTGGGGCTGAACGGCCCACAATACTATAAGGAATTTTCTATGCAATAAATACATCAAATATGGAAATTTAAAATCACATATTGCTAATATGTATGCAGAGATTAGTTAAGAAGAGCTGTCTTACCAAGAGGTGCAGCACGGCCCAGTAAGATGAAACAGCATGTTAGAATGTACACTGCATGCCTTCTGTATCATATGCTTTATTTGTCACATTATCCTCAGGTGTGGCATGGAATCTAAATATGTAAAACCAAAAATCTGCAGAAGACTGCTTATATCATCCTTGTGATTTCCAGATCCTCAACCTAGCCAAATTACTGCTACCACATCTCCCACAGTTATGTCTCCCTGCCTCTTTGCTCACTCCTGACTATGGATGGCTACTGCCCCAAAGAAGGGTGGCAGTAGCCCTGTGAGCTGATAGATCAAAAAAAAAAAAACCAACCAAAAATCTGAAAGCTTGCAGCTTATTTTATCTAATAGACCCTAACATCAGTGGAATGAAATAGGTTTCTTGTGGATTGATCTTACACTTTCTTCCTTCCAAGCAACTCACTACTGCGAAATTATTTTAAAAAGTAAAAAGGAAACAATGGCCATTGGGTTTTGCTCTTAAGTGTATTTCAGGGTCCCATAGAAGTAATAATCTCATCTTTTATCACAAACTTTCACGCCATCCTTATTCTAGGTGATCCTGATTACCTTATTTTTATCCAGCTAAGATTGCAAATATCCCTGCACCACAACTGATGTTTACAATTCTGTTACTTCTTTAAGAAAATCTAAAGCAGATCAAATTCCTCATCCTCAGGATACATCTTTTGCCAAACTGAATCAACAGATTGCCTTGACGTTTATTAAGTGTAAGAAAATACAGAAAATTTCAGATTTTTAGAAGAAAAAACACCTCCTTGATACAAACTGACCGGGAGAGACTCAGAAGAAATACCTGGATTCCTTCTGCTGGACAGGTTAATAATACATAGCACAGTTCCCCAGTCTGCACGTGGAGGTGGTTAAAATAAATGTAATTCCTTGGATTATGGTGACAATAAAAGCTAGGTTGATATTTACCTGTACCACAGAGAATAATGATGTGTCCTATTCCTCTGAAAATGGTCAAATGTCCAGAGGGTGCTCTGCAGTGGAGAGGGGACAGGATGGGACGCTTGGGTGTGTACCTGCACTCTGTGTGCAGCCGTGCAAGAGCTACTGAGTGCATACAAGTGGCAGGAGGTGACAGCCAAGAACACGAGGGTTTGGCAGGGGAGGTGTGTGACCTGTGACAGGGCTCTGGCTGGCAATTTCTTTTTCTGGGAGCTGCGTTGCTGACAGCAGCAGGAGCACCCCAGCCATCTGCAGCCAGCCCCAGAGCACCCACCAAACCCACTCCTAAGCGAGTCACTGACATGATGTTCAGCCTCACCAGACATCAGTTTTCCAGGCTGTGGTTACACTGAAAGTGGGTGATAAGCTTTTCATTTACATGAGGTCAGGATGCATGCTCATGTGCTGTGTATGAAAGCTAACTACTATTGGCAATATTTCACTGGGGCATTTTAAAGTTTTCAAGGTCAAGAATACAACTTGCCCTTTTAAAAAATATTCCAAAGGACCTTTCTTCACTGTAGGCAACAGTAATATGAACTGAGTAAAACTCTACAGAGTTACAATATTAAAAAAGTTCAACTTTAAAAAAAATTGAAAAGCGGTCTTTTTTTCTTCCCCAGACTCTCATCTCTAAGAGACTATGATCAATTAACCTTTAACTTTGAAAAATAAAAAAAATTCCTGTGACAGTCAGAAATGAAATTCTTTAAAGATTAGGTGCTGGGAGAGCAATATCAGGCTTAGAATGAAATCCTAGTAACACTCTGAACTATCAAATCACTTCTTGCTCTGAAAATATAATTATTCTGTAAGCGTTATGTCAGACAATATTAAATGCAAAAAGCGTAGCTTAAATAAAACTTTTTTTCTAGCAGAAAGGCTCTCTGCACAGTATTTTCAATTACACAGGAAAAAAACCGTCAGCATCCGATTAATGAAAAACAATACTATGTTCAATAAGTAGCATGCTTGGCAAGAACTAACTTTTAGTGACACCAGATTTAAAACCATGCTGTTATTGCAGTGAGAAATAGCCCTGTATGTTTATCTCCATTTCTAGTCATCTGCTTTCAGTACTGCACACCTGATTTTGTAATATTCACCGTTTATTTTGATGACAATTACAAACCCATGGAATAGACAGCATTTGTGTGGCACACAGCTCCCTCCATTTATTATTATATTTATTGTTTTTCTTACTGAGAAATGTAAAGCTACACAAGGATTTACTTTTATTCTAATACTTTGCTTTGGTCAAGTTGTTGTATGTTATAATGATGTTTCCCAAATTAAAAAAAAAAAAAAGTAGAAAAAGGAGGCAGAAGAAAATCTATTTATAAATGAGATACCTTTGGATCTTACTGTCTAAATCAAACAGTTTTGAAATGACAACACAGTATAAGCAGAGTAACTTCTGTATTTGTACATATCTCCACTACCGATAAAAGAGGTTTTAAAGAATAAAGTGGCTGAAGAGGTGTGCACAATGCTTGCACATCTTACCTGGCAAAGTCTCTTATCATGGCTAGGAGTGAGACTGCAGGGTATGTAGCTATCAATTCCACTGACATTACAATTTCCCTTTCTCAAAGCAGCAATAACCTGTCACTTTACACTGTCCTTTCTCTGACCCTCTCCCCCCTCTCGGCTCATTTTTATTCTTATTGACAAGACTTATTATTCCTCCTCCCAATTCCAAGTAGCTACCCTTTTGCAAATAGTAGTATCAACTATGTGGTCACTAGTAGTATCGGTCAACAATGTTATTAATATAGCACACACTGCTGGGAGCAGATCAAACAGCCATGCTTTAAAATATTAGTTTTGCAAAGGTACCATGAGGCAAATAGTTGCAGTTTTCTTCACCTTATACAATGTAATATTGCAAGGACAGACCTGAAGAATTCAGTGTTAATTACCAGCCGAATAATTTGGAGGATGTGTTATTTTTTTCTTGTTGCTTTCATACGCAAAATAAAATAAAACCATAACAGAAGGGTGCTGTATCTGTGTTTAAAGAAGCAGTTGTTGGCAAACACCATAGCTCACTTCTGCCGAAATGTACACAACTGATATATGCAGCCCAGAAAGCTGGCACCAGGGGCTTACAACCTTAATTTGCCTGCAAGAAGAAATGGAGATTTACCTTCAGAGCACGTTCTTGATTGTTTTCAGCAGTCATATGTCTCGTGTTGTTTGCTGAAGTCTGGTTCTGCTCTTTCAGATGATGAAGCTCCTGCTCCAGCCGTTTGCACTGCAACGAGGAAAGAATCCCATTAAGTAGAGGAGTGTGGGCATATTTTTTTTCAACAAGCCAAACGACTTAACGTAAATAACCCCATCAGTATTTCTGCAGTAGTGAAAGCATCAGACAAAAGCAAGTTACAATCTTAGACAACACTAAAGCTACGTTTTTAAAATGTGTATCATTATGCAGTTTCTTCCTGGTCCAACAGTATGGCAAAAAAGTTAAGTATCAGATATTTATCCGAATGTTGGGTTGAATTTCTGCTCCTAGTTATGCCAATAATTGGCTAGATTTTGGCTTTTATGTATTAAGTAAGTAGATATAAAGGAAAGAATGCATGCTTTTTGAAATGCAAAAAATTGAAAGACCCTCCTCCCATATCAAGGATCCAGCCTTTTATTAGAAAATAAAGATGAAATTTTTAGACTTGTATTTTTCATACTAAAAGGTTACTTTAATTCTCCAATACACACAACATATTGAAAGAAGTTTTTAAGATTTTTTCATTAAATATTTAACTTAATGACAAAAAATGAAAAAATTAGCACTTGCTACTGTGTGCCTATACATGCAGACTTACTGCTGTCTGCTGAGCATTTATTTTAATGATTAAAAATCTTCAAGTTGTAAACAAATTATATTTTGCTCTTTTTTTACATTAACTATAAAAGGTCTTTCCTAGTTCCTTGGTTTGAAAGAGCAGTTAGTTGTCTGCAGAGAGTTCTTTGCCTTGCAAAAAAACCTGTTTTACAAAAAAATATAAAAAGAAAACAATAACAGATGAAGTGCCAAGAAGACATAGGAACAACTGTTAGAACTAGGGAGAAGCAGAGTACCAGGAGAGGCATTTTACAACAACATATTGAAAGCAAGTAGTTTGGATATGATCAACAAAACCCCTAAGTTAATAGACTGTGGGAACAAAAGATAATTGATAAAAAACCAAATTCAATACATACTTTTAAAAAATACTAGCAAAAAAGGAATAAGAATTGTAATATAATGCCCATGTAAGCATTGCTGTCTCAAATGAAAGACCTGGAAACGTCATTCTCTTGTGGTATCTTAGTGACAGTGGACAACACAGAACTGAGCATCACATCATGTATATACACCCTGTTCTTAAGCAATTCAGCATAGGGGACAATGAAGCCTGGCTCATGTAAACTCCAAAAAAAGAAAATTTGTGAAACAGAAAGCTTCAGAACTGGAAAAATTATAAATGAGGCCGAAGTAAAATAAGGAATGCTAAAGAATCTTGAGACAGAAATTTTAAAGACATGCCAATACATACAAATCTTAAATACAAAATAAGACCTAACAATACACTGTTAACAGGCATCCAGTATAGTATATAAACCAGAGTGATCCCATCCTCTATTTGAATAAATTTTAAACATTTGTAGGATACCAAAAGTACTATTAAAAATTCCATTCACATCCTGTTGTTATATTTCATTACTTCTGTTAGAAATTTGAGCTTATTTCTAATAGGATTACCTATTTTAAAGGCAGTGAATTTTCCTGTAGTACATTCTCTCAGTGTGTGTTTGTAAACTTCCTTAATGTACAGCTTCATTTTTATTGCCAAAAAGACATTTTCCCATAGATAGGGAAATACAGAAAAAATATTAAGATCCATTTGATTGTAAGTATTTCACATACTTGAGATATTTAACATCTGTGTTTGTCACACACACACACAATCACAAATCAAAGAATCCCAGATGTAGCCCTTTTTCCATGTCTAGCATGAAATTTACGTGTTTGTAAGACATGAAGATGCTAATAAAACTACTGAAGAACAAAACGCGACGTTTTTTTTCTCTAGCAACACTTTTTCCTTAGTTTACGTGATCTAAACACCATTAAAAAAAATCAACCTACCACTGCAGACACTGTACATTACATCATGTATAATCACCAGGACACTGACTGTTATGCTTTGCCAACATTCTTCTTCAAATCAGTGTTTTGGAATCCACAATTTGACAACAAAACAAGTTTATGTAGAGTAAATATTATTAAAAAGACTAAAATCTCTATTTACCTTTAAAACTTGAATTTGTAATCATGCTATTCTCTTGAATCCAAAAGGTACATGAAAATATGCTAAGAGCAAAACCTAGCTACAGGACTACATGAGAAAAGATCTTGGTGTACAGAGCATATTGTACCACTGAGAGTATGGGTGCAATCTTAATTCCACTCTCCACTTCAGTCCTGTGAAGACAGGACACTGAAATAAACAGCAGCATTGGGAGCCCAGGATCTTGTAGAGCACAGAACAAGTGAAGTACAGTAAAGATGCACAAAGATAACCTAAATGGATGAACCTTCCTATCAAGTCAACTTTGATATGACTACATTTACATCAAACTTGGGAACATTTTGTAATTTCTCTTTCATTTCATTTTTACTGAGACTGTTGATATCTGAAAACAAACAAACAAACAAAAACCCGGGGTATTTTCAACTAGAATACTGCCTGAATTCAATTTGGGGCATCATTGAAAGAAATGGTGATCTAATTTGACCTTTGCACCTAAGAGTTTTACTATGTTGGAAACAATGTATTAACAGAAGATATTCTGAATTATTCTCAGCTGTCTAGGAAGTAAAATCTTCAATTACTCTCTTTGTGAAAGCATAACAATAATAGTCTCAAACAGCAACACCGTGTATGTTTGAATAAAGTTTAAATTTTACAACTTTGATACCTGAACTACTTTTAAAATATTAAAATAGTATTCTAAAGGCAAGCACTATTTTTCATAAGAGCAGGAGCATATGAAACTTTAGTGTAACCTTGCTGTAAAGAAAAGTTTTAAAAATAGAATTTAAAACAATGCAGCCCTTCTATCCATTTGAGCCAACATTTTTTGAATTCTGTGTCACTAGTTGTTAGCAAGGTCCAGTAAAAATAGATGTTCTTTAAAAGAACGTGTGTTTTTATTGGTTCACTCCAGGGCCCTAAAATGCCAACAGCTGCAAGTAAGAAACCGAATTTCCTTCTAAAAACATACATAAAAATACGTTTTGGAGCACAGTGAAGAGAAGACATCATCCAACTTGGTACTGACAAAAAGGAAATGTTGGATGTATGTTTTTAAGAAAGCTGAAAGCTAAAGGAAGTGTTTAATTTGAGATAGTATGTCTAAATTATGTTATCTCAAACTTGTGAAAACTTGCACACTTGGGAAACCTTCAAACAGACAATATATTTTGTGAAACACAGGTTATCTAAATATCTGATCTGAGGATTAATTGTGCCCTTAAATGCAAATTCCCATGAGTTCAGCACATTAAGAAATTGGCTGTTAATTGAGAAAACTGCTTCTCTACCTCGGCTACTTTGAGTACATCAAGGAGTATGAGAGCAGTGTAGACACATGTCAATGAGAAAATGTCTTGATCAGAACACTGATGACTTTGCCAAGTAAAGGATATTAAAGCCTCGGAAATGGTAATGTAATTTTATAAAGGTATCACACAAACAACTTACTAAGAATTAACTGTACTGTGTGGTCTACTGTGTGCATTCACAGTTCTGTAGCTGAAGAGGCAACATAGACAATTGAAAGTGCAAAAAATCTCACCCCCAAAACCAATATTGAAAAAGGTTTCCTCTCTTCTTCCAAACCCACACATTTGTTCTCTTCTCTGAAGGTATTTCCCCCCCAAACTTATCTAGCCTGATTCAGGTGATAATGTACTTGACAGACAGAGAACCTCATTAAGCCCACCCCAAATGTTCCTCAAGCAACCATCAATGTCCAGCTGTACAGCTGTCACTACAATATCATCCATTCCCAGCAACAGGGACTCAATCTTCTCTTCAACTGTATTTCCACCACGAAACTCCTCTAAATACACTCAGTCTTTTGAAACAAATACCTTTGTACCCAGCACAGGATATATCAAAAGCAGCTAAGACACAAAATGAAAAGCAAAGCAGGTAACATATCAAAAGGATAAGAGGAGATTCAGCTAGGAAAGCAAGGATAGACAGCCAAGTAAACATATCCTTCCCTCCCATCTTAAAATGTAAACTGTTAGGTTACTGTTGAGTCTTTTTTAATGAGCATCTGGTAACATGATTCAGCAGATTGAGGATGTTTGTGAGAGGCAGTGGTTCAAGCTGCAATGGGTGCTGACCCCATTCAGTGACTCTCCACGTGGGATTGCTGGAATACCAAAGGGAAATCCAGACAAATTGAAAAAGGAACATCTGCTAAAAGGGACACTGATGCAGAGATCAAGAAATGGACCAGGAGAATATCACTGAGTAAAGTCCATGAGGCCCACCCAGAAAATGACTGTTAAAAGACAGCCCCAGTTCCAGTTATACAAAAGGAGTAAAGATGGTTTACCTTGAATCAAGTATTTCAGAAGATAGAAAAATCAATGCAAATAACCACTTAATAGTGTTTGGCCTTTACTAGAAAATGAGGTTGCATTAACATATCAAACATAACTTTAGCACTTGTATAAACAAATCATCTTTTACATGCTGTCAGCTTTTCAGCATTTTCTTCTTCAACCTGTACCTGTAACACGTTAATATAGTGTTACAGTGCCTGCCACATCTACACAGATTGATGAGGGTTTTTTTTGATCATTATTTAACATGATTCTTCAGTAAGGTGTTCTTAAAGTAAAAGTACAAAACCACAAAACTTCTGTCACACAGAAGTAAAGAAAAACATGCAAGCCATTGGAGAAATAATGTTAGTAGGGACAAAGATGGAATACAGCAAAGCATCAACGTCGAGCAGAGCAACCTCCTGTCCCCAACCATTTGGTCCCTGTGCAGCTTGTATGAAGACAACATCTATCCCCAGAGGTTTCATGCAGAAGCCTGTTTAACTCTGCACTTCTTAGGTCCATCAGGCTGTTCCCGTGCTTTCAAAGAGACATAAATATTTTGCTACACCAGGGTCCCTCGCTCTCATCTCATTGAACTGGGATGGTAATGTCAGATGAATTTCTCATTTTGTATTTCA